CTATGTGTTTATATTATAATGTATAATGAAGGGAAAGGGAGTGTAAAAAAGCCTCAGTCCTGGTGCTGGTTTCTGTTTGTAAATCCCTTAAGCTCACCACGTAAGACTGTATATAAAGGAGCATGATTTAGAATTTTTTTAACATATATAAATCTTTGGTAGAATCCATGCCCAAAATTATAGATGAAAAATTTATTGCATGAACACAACCCAGCCATATAAATTTTTTATTACAAATAGGACTCTGAAACTTGAATAAAATATGTCAGTTTATTATACAATATTTCCCCCCCCTAAAACATGATATGAATGGAAAATTTAACTTGTGCACTTCTGCGGTACTTCTGCGAGGTGCTGGGCTGGCAGCGGAGGAGAGGGAGCCCGCTTTATTTAGCTGCAGAGCGGGCTCAGCATGGGCAGTGGCAGCACAGCCTTGCTCATCTGGCATCGCTGGTAATTTTTTTTTCTCCACTATGTGGGGATCACCTTTACTGTTTAGAGGATAGATGCATCTGCACCTGAATCAGCACGCTGGTTGCTAGCGAGGGCTCAGTTTCTGATGGGGGCTGGCTCTACGTAGGTAAAAAATAAACTTGACACCCATTTAATTCCGTTTGCGCAGACCAGTAGACAATACGACCGGTCCCTGTTGGTCACTGCCACCCCAGGCTGGATTCAGCACGCCCTAGAAAACACGGCGTGTCGAGAAAGTGCAAGTGCCCAAGGAAGTGTCCCGTTTCTCCAAAGTCAGGTAGCCATGAAGTGGTTTAGCACTGGGAAGTGCCACGACACTCGAAGCAGGCTTTTTTGGTGGAGGAGTGTAACAACTCTTCACTGTCTGAGTCACGGTCTACAAAAAAGAACAACATAGTCAGTCTGTTGACATTGGTCCTGTCCACAGGCCAGACTTTCCTGGGAAGGTTTTATTCTTTCCAAACAATGGAGTGTTCCCTTCCAGTGCCGCGAGCCCTGCTTCCACGCAGCCATCGTGCAGCCCGGCTGGAGCTGTGCTCCTGCTGCAGCTGAAAAGGAAAATTGTGGTATTGAAAAGTCCAGAGCTTCCATCCTGGAGCTGAAGGTCCCTGCCTCCTTATGGTTTGAGATCAGGCAGACCTAGGTCTCGGGCGTAACCACCTCGGTCGTGCTGGGGTAGCATATGCTTAAGAAACAGATCCAAAGAGGAACAGAGAATAGAGACGCAGTAGGAAATGCTACTTCGGAAAAACTAGCCTGTTCTGTTGGTTTTTTTTTTCTTTACCCCTTAATCATAGTTGATTCTTGGAAGCAGAGAGTAAAATAGCTTTGACATGCTTTTTTATCCTGTTTCCCCATGATTACGGTTGATACCAGATCACCTTGAGCTTCTCTTGTCCAGTAACCTTGACTCTAGTGTACATACTCACGCTAACTCCGGCTAGTTCAGGGTTAAAAATTCCAACCACTAACTTTTCTTTAACTAAAAAAGCCCCCAAATAAAACCCATTGTGCTATTCAAGGTTAAGCTTCCTTAAAAATAAAACTAGATTCCTTGGTGATTTTTTTTTTTTTTAAATCAGCAATCTTAATAGTGGTTCCTCACTATAATATTTCCAACTCCATCTGAAATCATTTAAATCCTCCCCTTAATAACATGCACTTTATTGTAATATACAGATTCTTTGGCTTCCTACCAGCCTTAGCTTAAGGCACCAATGAAACTCGTTGCCGCAGGGGGCCGTGGATTCAAGAGGGGCTCGCATCTACTGTATATTTTGTTTTGTATGTTTTCCAATGGCTCTAATTATTGCAGGTGGTAGAATTTAACTGGCAGTGTTGTTGCTAAAGAAAATAGGCATAAAGTGTATACTGTTTTGCAGAGTGGCTATCAAATATATAGAAAAGAGAAAATCAAATGAATTGTTAAACTGCTCTATAGTAAGTGATTTTATTGATTTAATGCAAATGCTTATGAAAACGATCTTCCATTTATATCAATTATGTATGGGCAAAAATTAATTTATTCCTCCGGTCACCTGTTTGGCTAACTGACTCAGCAGGACCGACATTCCCACTCCCGTTGTAGCCGAGCCCACAAAACACTAAACATTCAGAAAACTGGAATTTTAAAGTTTTCATGTGCAAAACAACAAAAAAGCCCCGACAGGAGTTACTGCCAACTGCTGAAAAAGCAGAGAGCGAGCGGTGGAGGCTAGGCAAGACTGTAAAATACAACGGCTCTGATTTTGCCAATCCCTTAACCATGTGGCGGCACATTTATATGTACCAGATCATCTGCGGCATCTGAATAAAATCAGGGAAGCAAAATTCTGCATATAAACATTTTGGCTAAGTGCCTTAACTCAGTCTTCTTATCTGGGGTTTCCACAAGATGCCACCTTGCATAACAATGCTGAGCATACGCTTGCCCAGTACATGTTTTCGGTAGCCTCCCATGATCTCTACCGCAGTATAGATTGGTTTTAATTCTACCTCGTCCTGCATTTTATTGCCCTGTGCCTCTCCATGAAGAATAGTGCTTAAAGCCTTTGTTGTCTTTTTTTAGAAATTAATATTTTATTTCAGCAGAAGGGGTGGGTTACAGGAAAACAGAATTAGGAAAAATGTTATCGCAGTAGCCAGAGTAATAAAAGAAGAAAGTTAAGATTCAGTATGCAAACAAATGTCCTACGGCCAGTAGAGTCTCTCTTGTGCCACTAGCTTTGGTGTTGGAAAAACAGCACTCAACACAAACAAAAGTACTTTGTTTCTCAAAATCCAGGAGCAGCTCCCGCTCTGTGTGCTGCCCACCGGCTGCAGGGCTGTGCTGGGGAGCGAGGGTGCCAGGCTGGGGGCTGAGAGCGCCAGCGCCGAGCCCAGCTCCTGCGGCTGCCACTGAGCCCTCGTCCCTCTCGCTGCTTCGCTGGATTGTTTAAAATTTTGAAAGGAAAACATGCCTTGAGTCCCATATTTCTGCAGTAACTTTTTCAAATATATAAATTTTTGTGGAATTCTGTCCCTACTTTAAACATAAAGCCCAAACACTGATTGAACCATGGCTTGCCAGAGGAAAAGAAAAACCTAAAAAATAAGCAAAAGCCTAATGCCTGCCCTGTAAAATGAAATCCGTTGAATGTTGACTTTGAATGTTAACTAAATATTTTACATTCCTAATATTTTACCTTTGTTTCTACCTTTGCTGTATCAGAAACATGAAACTCCTTGCCAAAATCTGGTGTCCAGAATATAACAGCACTGTGCATATTACCCGCTAGTCTATCTGCTGTCACTGATTTGAGCTTCAGTTAAAGATAACTCAGAAAATCAATATTTAAAACTGCAGAAGTGAGAATAATTTTTTTTTCGCTGAGCTTCATTGGAGAAATTATTAAAAATAATAAATACAGAAGAGAAGAAATGGATTTTCGACACACTGGGAAACATCACTTTTTAGGAGAATTTCATTGATTTTAAATAAAAGTATCAGGACTGAAGCTTTCTTTGCTAAATATTCTGAATGTTTGTATTCTGAAATTTATCAAAATTTGTTTTGTGAGCACTTTTTTTACTTGTAGTTTTTAATTTATGCAAGATTGTCCTCTAAGCTTCTGAATGATACCTAATGCATACAGTCAGCAGGTAAAAAAAAATTTGAATATTTAAAATAGGCATTTTCTTTATAGTGCTCTGCGGTAATTAAAATCTTCATTTGCTTAAAAGCAAGGAACCTTTCTAAAGCAATAAATTAGCATTGCTTGACCCAAGGTCACTAGTAGTACTGCTTCTTCCAGCACTATTAATACCTCAAAGAAAAAGAAGGGGTGGTGTTATCACTCTGTTGCAATAGAAGTAAGATTTTCAATTTAATCACAGTTAAGTGTCATGACCTTTTGATCTTGCATTGACTTCTCACTGAAATGTGGTCAAATTTCAGACAGCTAATTCTAACCTCTGCAAAGTCAAGGTGAAGAAAATAGGTTTGCCACAATTGGGGGTGTTTTTGATGCAGTAGCAGGTGGTTTCATTTCCTAAGTTTTGTTTCATAGCAAAAACTTTTTAAATGGGATCAATAAATTACAGAACAATTTCTGAAGAAAAAAAAAAGAAATCTTTTTCTATTTGTATTAATTGCAAAAACAGTAATTTGAGGGATTTTTTTTATATATATTTTTCCACACAGGTAAAGGGACCTTTTTTCCCAATTCGTAGTGATAGAAATAATTAAGAAGGAAAATACGATTTGACTAAAGCTTCTACTAAGAATAATTTTTGAACCAAAGAGCGATCATCTTCACATAAAGTTGAGTTAATAATGTGTAAAAAATGCAAAACACTCATATTTACACATCTCCTTTTATAGGTCATTTTATTATTTTAGGCAAATAAATTGTGTTCGTTGGTGAGTGTTAGCTGGGAGTTTGTAGGACCCATTATTTGCACAAGTTCTAAAGCAGTTCATCCAGTATCTGGTCTCATTTGTACCACTGCACATCAGGGACAATGCCGTACATTACAGTGATCTTGTAGTACCATAACCACTGCGAAAGTATGACGAAAATCAGTTCTTCTATCAGTTTTGCAGATTTTGTTCCAGAAATGTGTAGACAACAATCTTCACGACTTTGTAGTGTTGCTTAGTTACCTTTATATGCCTGCTTGAAAATATGTTTTGAGACTTTACTATGTGTTGGATTAAGGCTCTGGTTTGTATACAACATAGAGGCTGCATTATAAAAAACATGTAGGAGAGTAGTTTAAATATGCCTTCTCTAAAAAGAAGGATTCTCAAAGCTTAATTTATGCTAACACACACACACCAAGCACTCTGTGTAGTGCCATAAACAAGATTCCCTTTTTTTTCCTAGCAAAAATATTACCTAGGCACGGGACTTTTGCATTATTATGTCCTAGTGCAACACTCCTGTCCTTAGTTTGTACTCTCAGCCTTTTGAGGAAGTCTGGCGCCTCTGATCTATTTTCCACAGCAGACCCTGTAATTTTTGGCTGTATTTTATGTTTTTCAGATTCAAGTCAATCTGAAAGTCCCAGCCAGCCAAGTGAAGCTGATATTAAGGACCAGCCAGAAAATGGTAAGTTCTTACCTGCTGCTCCTGCTTTGGGATATTAAAACAGCCCATATTTATAAAGATTTTTTTCCTATGTCTAATACAAAAATATTATTCAGAATAATTGACATGGGATAGCTACAAATAGGTTGTGTACTCTCCTCATAGTTTAAATGCTACTGTTTCACTAATCTAAGGTAGCATTTGTTTCTCCAGTCCTGGAGAGAGACATTTTTTTCCTTCGAAAATAATTTTAATTAGGGAGATGCCATTTAAGAGCCTGCTGTATGCAACCCTTATCCTTATTCCTCCGTAGCAAAGGCTTTCAATCCCTGGGCCGTGAGTCATGACCCCCTAGGGGTGTGTGCTTCATCGCTTTCATTTTTATCTATGTGCTTTTAACTTCATTTTGTTTATTGATGCTCTTACATGACACACTGAAGTACCTAACTTTCGGTATGTGGCCAGCCATCATTTTAGAGTGCAGGATCCCAGATAGTCCTGCGAAACAAAATGGTTGCTTTGAAATATGTTTCTGCAGACCCATTCTCTACTGCAAAAATCTGCTAAACAACACTGAGCCGCAACGCTCCCAAACTTTGCAGTTTCAGGGCAGGACTGCACACCTATAAACATACCAGCTGCTCAGGCAGGTACCCACTATGGGGCTGACACAGGTGCTACCGGCATTGTCTGTGTTTTTATCAGTGTGGTTTAAAGGTTGTAGATACTACAGGTAAGCAGGGCAGGGAGGCTCGACTAGAGCTTGTTGCTCCTTCTTCTCTGTATGTTCGCAGTACCATTGTTTCAGGTGGCAGCGGCTTGAGCTTATTTGGAAGTAGCAGCAGGACTGTGACTTTTGGGAACACTAATATTCTTTGAACTGGGACAGTTTTAAAGTAGAAGCAATAGCTTCTACTGAACCAATTGCTTGCTTTGTAAAGCAGCCTGAAAAAGAATCATTCAATAATAGCGAATTTCTGTATGGACTGTATGTGAAAGGATAAGTATGTGTGTAAGGGAACAGCTTCTCTTCCTTTTTATGTTTAAGTAAGGTAGACCTCAACAATTTTTGTTGGCCCATCGGCAACTGAGTTTTGTTTTACTACTTATATTTAGGACTTAGAAATAATGTCTCTCAAAGTGAAAGTGATTATTATTAATAATTTTTCTTGATTTTTTTTATAAAACCTAAATGTAGATGGGGATCCACTGTACTGGGGTCTACTGTGCATACATGGAAAAGAATTTGTATGAAGGGCTTTTGTCTCTAAAACCTGTCACCATTTTTGGGATATGTAAATCCATCTCATGTAGAAATATTGTATCTATAATAACACAACTGTGATTGCCCTTTCACAGAGCAACTGCTTTTGCCTCAAATCCCTACAGCTGTATATGTGTTCAGTGTGTGTTTTGGGGACTTTATTAGCAACCAAACAAGCTGCAAGTGGGAATGAGGTTGAAGGGCTGCATTCACATCCAGACTGCATTTGGATCAGGGTTTAAACAGCAGATAGAATTAAGGGAAGAAGAAGAGGTTTAGGTACATAAAAATCTTTTAAAAACCTGTTTTTTCATAGGCCATAGAACATATAGGGCTCATTAGGCTGATAAGATTTTGGCTTTTGGGGTTCCTGTATTTTTCTCCCGTTGAAATATGAAAGGTTTCGTATTTTGATAGATTTTGTGCTGTTCATCTCTAAACATACCAGCTTAAAACATTCCTGTTGTTTCTGAAAGACAGTGCCTCATTTCCCTTATCAATCCTGTTCACAGAAATTCTAATTTGTAGCCAAAGGATTGCGAGGTTAAGAGAAGAACTGACTAAACTGTGATTTTTGTTCTGCCAATTCTGCTATTTTTTTTGTGGGGAATATGTTGCCTATGTTTATTAAATCATATTTTAATTTAGAATGTATTAGGCACCAAAGATGTTATTATTTCATGTTTAGATAATATTCTTTCGCAGCTATTAAACCACAGTTCTTCTTACCCTGCAGTTTCTCAGTCTTAAGGAAGCCTGTTACTCAACAACTGCCCCGAAAAGCAGCAATGTCAGTGTTTAATAATGTAAAATCTGTAAGAGCCTAGTGAAATGAAAATCTCTGATTTGGAGCCTGAGTCTTTCTTGTAAAACAAGCTTTTAGTGAATTCTTGGAACTTTACTAGTGACCTGCAAAAGGTACTTTTTTTGAATAAACAGGAAAAGGATTTTGCTTTTTCTCAGTTTTACTAAAGGGTATTTTTCCCCACCACAGCAGAAGCCTCCTAACTGATCACGCACCTTTTGCAGTGCCTGTGTGGGAGATTTTCTTTACAAATGCATCTAACGCAGTCTGTTGTCCCTAAAGGGGTTGCTCCCCCTGGGCGGACGCTGAGCTCATTCTCAGCACACACAGCCCCCAGCTTGCAGTGTACCCAATGTGTAGATCAACACAGATCTGCAGCTCTTATCTACTGAACGTGAGGATGAAAGCAAAACTGCAGGCTTTAGAAAATGAAAAACTGCACGCACAGAAACGGACACAATAAATCATATTAACTGCGTTGTTCTACACTTGCTGTAGACCCACTTCCACAAGGCCTGATCCAAATCCCTCCGGAGTCAATGGGAGTCTCGTAATTGATTTTACTGAGGGTGGGAATGAGCCCACACAGAGAGGAATTTTTTTTTTAAATCAAAGAAAAATAGTATTGTGAATAATCTTATTCCCACTGACGCTAACAGCAGAATGACCAGATTGAGGGCAGATTTGGATCTTTTTGCATGTGTTTCTGGAAGGCACAAAGAAGTGTATCGATTAAGTACTACCTTTTACATGCATGCATTCCTTCATTTAAAAAAAATAAATCTTTAAAGGCCTTGTGAGGGTTATACAGCCTCTCTACTTGCCTGTTAATATCCTTTCTGTTCCACTCCATAAATTCTAGAGCTATTTATTATACACATATATTTTGCATACCTTGAGTAATGTAGGTTCAAAAGGGTCAACTATACAGCCCTGAAAAAGAAGGCCTCCTACTATAGATTTTAATTTATCATTTTAATTTGTATGTGTTACTTTGGAAAGCCTGTATGTCTAACCTTCCTTAAAGTGAAGTTCATGGGAAAAAAAGCTTTTCTTTTTTAGAGCCACTCCTTTTTTCTAGTGGGCTTTACAGTCGCATTTTCTGGAGCAGAATCATCACGAACAGAAGATGGTGACATCTTCTGCTCTCAGTGGTGGCTTTAACACCAACTCTAGCCTTTTCTTCAGCCTTTTAAGCCAGAACAGTTTTCAGGCAAGTCACTTATCCGATCACTACTGCAAAAATTTGCAGAAATATTAAGCATTTCTTTTTTTCTAGAGAGAGAGAGAGAGATGCAGCATGATGGTCTTGAAAAGCAAACATGCAGGCAAGACAGAGCTCATTCGTGCATGCATGGTACAAGGTCGAGACGTCTTGTCCTGGAACCGGGGGTAAAGCTAACATGTAACCGAATGGTGTGCACAGTGCTGCTGTGTCTCAGGTCTGTTAGCATGGGAAAGAGCTTCTTGGGGAGAGGAAGAAAACCCAGAATTTGTCTGTTTGTTATGTGAGTGAGGAAATTTGCAGGAGGGATGATGAAAGAGGCCAGCAACTTCATTTGAAAGGCAGGAGCATGTTCCGATGTCCTGATATTTTGCTCAAATGAGTTTTTTTCCTGACCAGCTGGGTGGAACACCCATGTGGAAAATTCCCCACTTTTGTAGTTGCCTAATGGTATGTAAAAGCTTCATTTCAGTTGGCACCGCAAAGTGATTTTGCAATTCACCCAATCAAAAAAAAAAGGTTATTGATTTTAAAAGCTTGTTAAGTGCACTGATTTGGTGTTGTATTTTATAAACAAACTAGTTTTCAGTGAACTGAGGATGACAAAATGGCTAGTCTGATGTAGTGAAGTGACTGCATGCCTGGGGATCAGGAACAACTGAATTCCCAGCTCAGCACTGCCATGGACTCTCTCTAGGGCTTTTATTCTCTCTTTCAGTCATGGAAACGGCTATCGGATAGATTTTCTTTTTGTAAGTAGGATTATTTTAAACTTTTGTAGGAAAACTTTTCAGTCTTTTTGTCTGCAAAGTGGGGATATTTGTGATTCTAGCTTTCAGAGATTCATAGAACATTAAAGGTCAAATCCTGCTCTGCTCCAGCAGGAGTTTAACTCTGGAAAAAGGCAAGGAGGGTGTAGCGCAAACTGGTTAATAATTGTGGTACAGCACTGTGTTACTGCTGTTAGTAAATGGATGTCAGATATCCACAGGCGATGTTTGTGTTTGATGTGGTAGTACTGGCGAATTAATAACTGCAGTGTAAAGGTACACACGAAGTGTGCTGTGTAAAGCAGAAGAACGCTGTGTCATTTTCTACAGACAACTGATGTCGCTCGAGCATGTGGTATTGTGACTTGATAACTCAAAGTTGGTAGCACACCACTTTAATTGTAGATTAGCAAATTCTTTTTAAAGAAATTGGTAAATTCTCTCATTTCAAATGAGCAAGACAGCACTCATTATTACAGCTGATTACAAATGTGTGCCAAATTCATTGCTCAAACAATTTCTGTAGAGGGAGAGGCATTTATCTAAAAAATAAAAATGTTTAATGCCCAAACCAAATGCTTTTTAATTTTAATGTATTCTTGCTGCTTTGAGCTGCAAGTACCTTAACAGCACTGCGGGAAATGAAAGGCACATTGTTCTTTGTAACATTAAAAAAAAAAAGAAAAAAGAAAAACAATGATGTACCGTAACTCACAGAACTCGTTTTTCAACCCTGCAGTAATTACACTGGACTTGTAAATATCATCTGTGAATTCTTTGCTTAAGTAGGGCCGGACTTGAGTATTAAACCTTAAAAAAATGTTTAAGTATATGCTTACTTTTCCATGCCTAAAAACATAAAGGAAGAACTTCTGGTCCTCAAGCTGTGGGGGAAAGAGAAGGCAATAGTGGGAACATACGCAAAGAGAAGTTTCCTTTTCTTCTTCTCTAGGCAAG